GTAGACCAATTTGATGGTCACGACATCATTTCGTGTTTGAATTTTAAATTTTTTTCTACTAATCCAAATCATTTGAAATTTTAGGCATGTGTTCTTCTCATAAAGATACATCTAATAAAAATATAAAAAAAAGTATTCACAAAAAAATGACCAACATATCTTTTCGGGGGAATTTTGGTCAATTTATTTTATGTAAAATATTTTTTTAATATTTTTCAAAAATTCAACTATTTTTTATGAACACACTCCAAAAATTTCAAATGATTTGGATTTATATAAGAAAATTCAAATACTACCATACATATGTGATTGTCGGATCAACTCAGATTCAATTTGAACTAATTCCAACTTTTTCCATATATATATATATATATATATAATAAAAACAATAATGACAAGAGCTGGCCTCTTTCATTGGGGCAAAACAGTCATAATCTTTAGAATCCCGCTCCGAGAGTCATTATGGTTTGATGGTATTCATTTCATCCCATAAAGCAATCAGGGGCTTTTCCGTAATTTTATCTTCCCGCTCCCATATAGATACACTGGCTCGATACCCACTCCATTTCGCAATCAGATATTCATTTTGTGCGTTTTATAATTGATATAGTGAGAGAAAATGCAAAAGCATAGAAGAAGCTTTGATTCAATCCATGGAACAAGAAGAATTTCGGTAGAGAAAGAGGAGCAGGAAATAGTGAAGAGATCAAATCTAATTTCTCAGCTTCTCGAGATCGAAAGAAGGCTGCAGAAGCTGCAAAACAAATCGGAGTCGAGAGAAGAGCAACTCAAAGCTTGCACTGAGGATTCAGGGAGGAGTTCCAAGCCTGAATCCCTACTTTCATCGAAATCGACGGTGAATTTGTCTCTCATTTCATATATAATCTGTCATTTCTCGATTCAACTGCAAACTTTGATTCCGGCATTTGTGATTCTTTCTCATTCTTTGAACTGCAAATTGTTTTCCTCTGTTTGTTACCGAGTTCGAAAAAGAGTCGAAATGTTTGCTGTCTCTGATAATGGAAAGAACCTGGAAATGCCTTTGATTTCCTTTGCCTTTTCCTCTGTGAACTTATAATCAGTCCTGACGCCATTTCAAACTTGAGTTTCTCTCTCTAAACTCTGCTTCTCATTTTCTTGTGTGATTGTGGATGTAGAGTGTGGAAAATTTTTACTTTGAGAAAAGGTGAAAATAAAGAAAGAGGACCTATTTCACAGGGAAATGCGGTTGATTTTCTTCTAGACTTTTTAAACTTTCCATTTTTTGTATTAATTATTTTCCATTGAAGCATAACATAACAATTACTCTTCTGAGTTCCAATCTCGAGATATAAACTTTATTTACTTGAAATTTTGTGACTGTAGTCCATCCTAATTCCTAATCTTCTATACAAACGCAGGAAAGAAGCCGCAGTCGAAGCCACGAGCTCGATGATACCGTTTCTTCTGCCAACTCGGTAATTGCAATAATTTTTTGGAATGATATTTCGCTCATTTTGCAAAATTGATTCACATTTGTATACAAACTTATCAGGAGACTATGGAAAATTATAAATTGAGGAACAGCTCTGTCTTAGATGTATTTTCTTTGGCTAAAATGTACACTCTGGAGTTTTTTCTCTTTTTAACTGTTGTTGAAGAAAATTTGCTGCTCATGTTTAATCTATTGAATTGCATTTTAACCTTCTAATCTAACTTACCCATTTCATAAATAATTAACTTAAAGAGAATCTATATGGATAGTTATTAATTCAATAATTATGGTCTGAATGAGGATACGACTCTCGGTAGACTAGAACGGCGGAACAAGATTTATGTAACCGACATTGAAAGAAGGTGATAATTTTAACCCTGAAGTGTAATTATTCAATAATTATGATCTTATTAAACCCTTGATAGAGTAGAATGATGGAACATGATTCATATAAGCGACATTAAAAAAACCTGATTATTTAACCCTGGAGTGTAATTCTTTGTCTTCCATCTCATTTTGTTTCTTTCTTCTTTCTTTTATACTTTGATGAATTTGTTGATGTTGGCTACTGTGTGCATTGCATTACAAAGGGCATGCATCAGGAGGCATATAAGAGGATGATGAGGCATGTTTTAAAGCAATTAGAAGAAGAGGCAGAACAATGGGTAGAGGTGGATCGCACCTTGGTTCTCTTAAACCAACAACTCCACTCCCTAAGGGAAGATAGAGACCACTGGCAAAACCAAGCCATATACAATGACAAGAAGTTAACCAAACTTGAAGACCAGGTAACATTCAAAACTTTTATGATGATTTTTTCTAATTTTTTGGTTTGAGAGATCATAGATGAGTCCAACAAGGCCATTATTTTGGGTTTATCAGAATCTCCTCTTTAGAGGGGAAAGTTTTCTATATGCTGCTTGGTGTATGGAAATTATGCATACCACCCTTCTCCCAATCACCCTATCGGAATCGGATAACTAAGATAACCCCAATCATAATGTCGTACCTAAGCATTATTTTATTTTCAATTTTTTTATATAAATCATATTAACACCAAATTTGGGGCATCTCTCCTCTCATAGAGTCATACTTATGAAAAATATTAAAACAATATTTTCAAAAAAAAAAAAGACCTAAATACCCTTGAAATTTGAGGGATCATTTGGTCTTTTTATTTGAAAGTATTTTTTGATATATTTTTATGGGTGTGCCCTATTAAGATCATTACTCTAGGAATAAATATGATACACTAAGAATAAATTTGATACATTACTCTTTATAGGGTCTCATGGGATCATTACTCTAAGAATAAATATGATACACATCAAACTTCACTTTCATATGATTTGTAATTTTTTTTTTTCAAAAAATATTATGAAATGTCAAATCTAGATCAAAGAGTGAGAAGCTCACTCGTGACATTGTAATTGGCGTCATCTCAACCACCCATTTAGATCGGATGACTCGAGGAGAGTGGCATGTAAAAATTTTATATATGTAGTGGCATATAGAAAGCTTTCCCCTATCAAAATTCAAACACAATGCTAGCCATTCATTCATTGATATCTCCTTTAATATGGGTTCGCCTAAGGGCTAGCAATGGGTTGTGCACAAGCTGGGTTAGCCTTGGCCTTGCTCAATACTAGTCCTCATGGGTGCCAGCCCAAGCCTAGCCAGGTTTTGAGTCCTTGGCTTAGGGTTGGCTGAATCAGACCACCTTGTCATGGCCATGGCCGGCCAGGAAATAGCCCTTAAGCTACGGTGGCTTGGTCCTGGCCCGGCCCTCCAGCCAAATTTTGTGGCCCAAGCCGCTCGGAACCTGAAATTTTCTTCCTTTTGCATATATGCATGTATATTTATCTTTTCTCAGCTCCTTCATTGTAATTAGACATGAATATCATATCTAATGGATGTAGGATAGGATATCAAGGAGAAATATCAATCCATTTTCCTGCCCTTTTTTGTAATTCCAGATGCTGACGTGGCGGAAGAGGGCAATGAGGTCAGAGCAGAGAGCACGTAAGCTTGACGCCACGAACTCAAAACTTCAACAAGTGTATCTGGAGCTTCTCTTTTGCGGGGCCCACCATTCATCCGACGTGGAAACTCCTTTTCAGACTCAATTATTATCGCGCAAGAAAATAGATCGTCCCTTCTCAAGTCCTGGGGTTCCAAAAGCAACCAAACCAATAGGGACTCTTGGAAAAGAGAATGTGACGAAAACACCCTCAAACTATTCTAGAAATGGTAGACGAGTACTATCGGATATGGGAAACGTGGTAGGACACTCTTTGTAAAATGTGAGCTTCACGTCAGAAATGCCTCCGATCTTTTATGGAAATTGCAACGGTGATCTTGATCTTAATAAGTAAAAAGTTTATATAAGGTTGTCCCTTTAAAATGTAGAATTAAAAAAATCTATTGGAAAAAGCTGTTTAAATATTGGAAAACTTTTTAATTAAATATTTTGATATTGAAATGTAAATATATATAAAAAAGGATCTCGAGTTTAAAAAATAGTCCGTTTTCAATATTTACATATGTTTATAGATTTACTTAATTAGAGATGAAAATAAAATCTTAGGCCATCTTAAAAAATTTCGATACCAAAATTACATGTTATAATAAAATGTGGAAGTGTGCCTTAATTTAATTGTTTAAAGTTACAACTTTATACAAACCACTTATACCGTTGATTTTGGCTTTTGCCTAAAAAATTTGGCGGGAATACCCTTCTCAAACAATGAAAGTGTTTGTTTTACATTAAAATTCAGGGAAATTGTGGCCAGCTTCCATACTGTTGCCAGAGCCCAGAAAAGGATACAAAACCCAAATCAATAATGTCTCTCAATACCTAATAAATTAAAGCACTCATTTTGAATTTTAAACCCAAAAGTTGTCCAAACTTTGGCCTGAACTGTTCCACTACTTCATACTAAATCAAACCTTTCCAAATTTGGGTTTAAAAAACTGAGATGCCAAGTTTCATGCCTACACCAAACAAGCATCTCACGGGAAACTACATAAATTTTGGTACTTTTATTCTGAAAATTGCATAAATATGGGTTGTGTTTTTAGGCTGTTCTTTTAATTCAGATTGGGCCTTGGCATTCCCATTTTAGATCATGTGTTGATAAAAAGTGGTCATTTCGGGGAAAAGATTGGGGAATCTTGGTCATTTAAGAAAGTGATGTGGTGGGTTTTAGGGTAGGCAGGTGAGTGGAGAGAGCATTTTGATTTAATGGGCATTGAATTTGGACGTATTTCTGTTTCTCTACGCACACGTTCTTTTTGCATGTTGGGCAAGTGGCATGGCATGTACTTTTTATAATCCTGATGGGGCTTTTATATATTTCGTTTTGAATTTCGACATGGCAGAATCTGCACAATCCATTTCATTTGCAGTCGGAACAGTATTTCAGAACTCAAGACCTGTGGGGTGATCGTCCACCCCACGGATCCCTGTCGGATTGTTGTATCAATCATCCAAATTGGTTTGGATGGGTCTGAATGAGAAATCCAAAAAACTATAAAAAATAAATAATAAAATTAAAATTATAGTTTTTGGGGTAGGGATTTTTTTCTTTTTTTTGCCAAAGTTGCTTTATTTATTGTATTTTTTTGACAAGCATGTTGCTTTATTTATTAATGGAAGAAAGTTAAATAAAAAGAATTGCATCATCCAACACTAAAAACGACAGCACAGATGCTCTACTGTTAGCAAGAATATCAACCTCCACATTAGCTTCCTTGAAAATATGATGAAAAGAAATAATCAATGATTCCGTCATATCTAAAATCTATATCAAAATCGTTTTAAATTTTTAAGGCACTTTTTGCTCCTTACTGTACCATCAATAGCATTCATAGAATCCCCTACCACCATGCAACACATACCCAAATTCTTACTTTTGAAATGCTTCATCCCGTGGAAGAGAGTAAGAATTTCAGTGTGGTTAGCAGGCGCCACACCAATGGGACCGGAATAGGTAAAGATTGAAGCCCCGTTCCAATTCCTAACTAGCTCCCCTATACCTGTCACCCCCCCATTACCAAGGGAGCTCCCATCAAAATTTAGTTTGAAACCTTCCATCGTAAGCGGAACCCAAATGCTTCTAAGCCGACATCTGACGATACCCAACCGAAACCAATTTTGAAGGTTGAGCATAACATTTACCTCCGAAATACCCCACCCCTCTTTAGTAACTGACAACCGACACCATAGAGTATGCTTAACATTGTAAAGCACTATATCATAAGATAAAATATCCTCATTAAAAGTTCTCATATTCTGTTATTTTCAAATTTCCCATAAAATTGCTCCTCACAATTTTCTAAATCGCACTTTTTGGTAAATGTTTAAAGGCCAGTGGGTGCACAATCCCCATAACAAATTGGGGCATAGCAACCCTCAAACCTCTAAAAGTTAAAAAAACCAACACCATATAAATAAATGGGCCTTAGATTCTCCATCCTTCTTACACATGAGACGAATGTTCAACAGAATTTCCTTCGTCTTGATCAAATTGTCTATAGTTAGAAACTTATCTTGAACAACTAGCCACACAAGCACCTGGAATTTGTGGGGGATCGACCTTTCCAAATTTGGGCAACTTTCGGTAAAGACCAATGCTAATGATCATGGAACAACAACCTATGGATTGATTTGACCGAAAATTTCCTATCGCTTTCAACATCCCATACAATCTCATCTTCCAAACTTTGAGAAATATATATATATGTTCCAACTCCAATAATAAGCTCAACCGAGGGTAAAGCCCATCATTTGGCCTATTATACATAAAATTTAAATTCCAAACAACTTGATTTCCCCAAATCTAAAAAACTTCAGCCACCTTAGCATTTGGTTAAGCCACCTTGTAAAAAATCTCTGGATAGCAATATTCAATGCCCTATCCCCAATCCATTTGCCAAAATGACACTTGGTTGCCATTTCGAATAAACCATCGCAAATTCCGCTCTAATAAAAGCGTACATAGAAAAATGGATATCCAAAAAATTGATCGATGCGCATTTCCTCTACTACTTCCAATTCACATTCCTATTCTATCGAAGCCATATTTTGCAATTAGAACACGATACCACAAATGATCTTTCAGATGAAAGCTCCGCCACCACCATTTGCAAAGTACGGCCTTATTAATGAGCACATTTTTCTTTAACCCAAGGCTCCCTTCATTATTGGGAGTGCAAACCTTATCCCACCTCAAAAGATGGTATTTGCATTCTTCACTATAGTAGCCCCATAAAAGTTATGCATCATTCACTCAATCAGTTTTGCTATTGAATTAGGCATATGAATGAGCGACATTTGATAGATGTGTAGATTTGCCAAGCAAGATCTCAGTAGAGTAACTCTCCCACCCAAAGACAAAAAGTTAAGCTTCCATAGATCCAATTTAAATTGAACTCTTTACACAACTTTATCCTACAACAAAACTAAAAGTTTTCCATTTGAAATAGGAAAGCCTGAGTAGGTAATAGGGAAATAGTTTACCTTACATCCCATAAAAGTTTCTCATCCCCACACAAGACTTTCATCATAATTAATACCTATCACATATATCTTCTCAAAGTTGATTTTAAGCCACATGGCTTCTTCACAACATCTCAAGAATCTAGCAATATTATTCATTTGGGTCAGATCAACCTCACAAAAGATGAGTGTCTCATCCACGTATTGGATATGAGACAAACTCAGCTCTTGAGTGGCAACTTTGAAGCCTGAGAAATTGCCCTTACTTTCCACATTCTGAACTGGAAGACTAAAACACTCGACGTAAAGGGTAAACAACAAAGGCGACAATGGATCACCCTGACATAAACACCTATAGGCTATGAAAAAACCTTTTGGGCTTCCATTGATCAATATTGAAAAGTGAGCTGATGAAAGGTAACCGAAGATCCAATTTTTCCATTTGGCTCCAAACCCATCTTCTTCATGATCTCCATAAGAATACCCCACTCTACTCTGCCATGAGCTTTTTCCATATCTAACTTAATGAGCACTCCTAACAATTGACTCAGAATTCTAGAATGGATACATTCATGTGCCACAAAATACTGTCTATAATCAAACGATATTGAATAAAAGTTGACTGAGGATCAGAGATAATAACGGACAACATTAACTTAAACCTTTCAGCTAAAATTTTAGCCACAATTTTATTAATGCTTGTGAGCAGGCTAATGGGTCTGGTATCTAATAGAGTAGCAAGTACTGATTTTTTGGAATCAATATGATATATGTGAAATTGACAATACTATCTTCCATACCAACATGATCACCTTCAGCAACCCCTGGAATAACAATTCTGGAGATATCATCTTGTCTCTTTCTAGCATTAGCTCTGACTTGAAAGAATTTGGTATTGAGATCACCTACTTTAAACTACTTAGCTTTGGATCTTTGCTTCCAATAAACTTCTTCCAACCTATGGCAATCATGCAGAGCCTTAAATTTTGCATTTCTATCCACCACTATATCATCTATTAAAGCACCCGTCAACTGAACATTGTAGTCTATCAATTCATTATCCATAAGAACCGTCTCTATTTTTCCTCTCAATTGATATCCGCTCTCTACCTTGCAAGCAATCAATTTATGCTTAATATTAAAAAGTTTCTTTTGTAATTGGTAATCCAAAGAGCTATAAGTGATAGTATTTTTCCACGTACTTCTAATAATATCCACAACCTCTTGTTCCTCCAACCACCCTATATCCATTCTGAAAAGTTAGGACCGCTGCACAAATTACTAGAGTTGAGCAAAATCAGTGTATGGTCTGATGAAAGTCTAAAAATAGCCTTTGCAAAGACAAAAAGAAAAGGTTCCACTCAACGTCCAGAAACAAAAAACTTGTCAAGCTTGGACATAATAAGATTAATAATACTGATATTCAATAAAACTATTGAACATCTACATTGCATAATTAATAGAGCCTCCTGAGGAGGATTCATTTGGCCAACGAATGAGATTGAAATTCCCCCAATGCAAATAGGAGAATTGTAATTGAATAACACATCGGTCATATCATTAACAAAAAGTTGTTTATGCGCTGAAAAATTCGGACCATACATTCATTGACCCCCCCCAGAGAAATCAAGTAAAGGCCCATGAAAGAAAACAATTAACAGTAACTTTTTTTAATGATCTCAAAACTTTGTAAGATCAGATGATCCCACAAAATCCATAACCCAATCGAGGTGCCTAGCAAGCCTATTCCATCCAAATTAATAAACTCAGAGCCCCAAACTACTCTAGGTATTAATTAACTCCCTAAAAAAACGGATTAAAAAATTAAATAAAAATGAAATAGGTTTTCTTTTCTTTTTTTTTTTTTTTTTTTGTGGGTTGGGTAGGTGGGGGGGCTAGGCCGCGTTACAAAAACACTATTGAGTGCTAAATTTTGAGAGGCACTTATATTTGCAAATGTTTTTACTCTATAGATTATTAGTGGTAATTACTTGATTAAAATGTTTGGGTTAATGTGTCATTGCACTAAGTTCTAGCAAGGATAGTGACGTAGGGTTTGTATGAAATGTTAGCACTTGGGTTTCCTACAGTACGCTAGGACCTTCCCAACGGTGGTACTAAATCTCCCGGAGCCATTCCTCTACCGAAAGTCTCAATTTGTTGGAGACTTCCGGCGGCATAGTGATACAAATCACTGGTTGAGGTGATGCCAGCTAAGGGTAGGGAAATCCAAAGTATTTCAGGTGGCAATGGACCCAGATTCAACTCGGGAGCCGAGGGGTAGATCCGATCCAGGTCCAAGTTAATAAAAACAAAGTTCAAAATAAAAAGGTGTAACAGGAAAGACAAGGAAAAAAAGATAGGGTCAAAAAAATTGGACCCCATGGATTGGATCCGGGTTTAAATCTTAGACCTGAACACGATTTGGATCCGGGTCCAGTCGGGTCCGAGACCGATAATATTTTGTAAGTCCCAATATTTCATAAATATAATTAAATATAGATATTTAAAATTTTGGATCGAGTCTCGGTCCCACACTATATTTTCAGGTCCGGGATCTGGCCGGACCGAGACCCGACCTATCCCGTTGCCACCTATAAAAAAGTATAAGTATAAGGTGCTTTTCTAATAAAGTATTGGTTACACTGTTAAAAAATAAAGGAATTGGTATGTTGAGCTCTATGTAGGATAAAACAGCAAGCAAGTTACATGTAGAACAACGCATGTCACAAATCCCATTAGCATTATTTACGGTATGCACTATATGATTAAGGTTCCTCATTCTTCCTCGAGCAAAAGTGCAACTTTGAGATGGTTTTTTCTCGATTTGAAATTTGGAGATCCACTTAAAAATCATCAGTTAATTAATTTTATAAAAAGAAGTTTAGGGTTCCTAATCTCACTGTCCAAGACTTCACGGTCTTCGTTCAATTTTGATATTTTTTAAGGCACATATTGAGTGTAATTCGATTTCGTTTTATTCTTCATCAATACGTTGAAGGGGTTTGGGTTACATCCCAGAAATTTGGGACCCTAAGAATGCTCCAATATTAGGTTCCATCCGAGTAAATGGACAATATGCCCCGGCAGGAACACAAAATCTTTTGGAATAAAGTAGGTAGTGGTCTAGTTGGCCATATTTTGGACTTTAAATGTGCTTGTTAAAGGAATTCAATAGAAGAGAGCCATGCTTATTACGTTTATAGGAACGAAGCTCATCCTTACCTCCCAGTGTCTTAGAATTTAGCCGAGTCCTTTCCGACTCAGCCGAGTTACCCAGCCTCAGCCTCGTACCAAGCCAAATACCCATACACTGAGTTGGGAAAATAATTTGAATAAGATCTCTAAAAAATTGTAAAAAAAAATGCTTTTCTGAAAACTTGATGAATTTGGTACATATTTTGACCAAATTATCCAAAAAGACAAGAATAGTGAAAATTTGATTCTTGTTTGAGTACCACATAGTCATTTTACACTATAAAATGAAGTAAATATGAAAAAAAAGTAAAAAAATTAAACCCTAATTAATGAAAATACAATGACAACCCTAGCTAACAAAGAAAAAAAAGAAGATATTTATAAAAGTTTTAGATTTTCTAAAATCTATTCAGTAAAGGGAAACCCTATCAAAATAAGTAAAGCCTCACCACATAACTCATTAAAAATTGCAATTCAAGTGTTGAAAAACCTTTAAATCAATCATCTCATCTTGAACATTATAGTTGTAAAAAAAAATTCGGATTTCCAGTTCTAGAAATAGCGTATATTGCAACAAATCATCTCGACCATCTATTTCACCTTAAAAATAAGTATTCACAGTTCCGCAAAATATGTACAATTTTTTAACTTCAAATTTTATTGTTGGTGTTAGAAATTGATTGTAAAGCCACCATGAGGATTTCTGATGCTCGCTCAAAGTTCTATTCTCGATGAGAAATTGAGGTGAAGCTTTGTTTTCGTTTTATAAATCCTAAGCCCTACAGAAACTTCATCAGGGAATACCCTAAGCAAAGACAAAAAAAGTACAGTTAATACAAATATTATTAAAACATTAACTACACCCTACGTAAGGGATATCAGACAAAAATCATTGTAATATTTATGAAAATTTAGATATCTCAAACATTTTTTGGGAAGCCTTGAGTCGACACAAAAAAAAAACCATCCAACATAACTCGGAATATACATAAATATAAAGAAAACCTTTCTAATCTACAAAAAGTTTCCAATTCTTTTCAAATTTTCAGAAAACAAAATGAATACATATATTTTAAAAATTATCTAAGCCTTTCCAAAGACAATCTAGGGCTTAAAAAAGGGGAAAAAATGACAAAAAAAAGGAAAAAACCTAAAATAACAAAATTTGGTTAAAGTATATAAAAAAACTGTAAAAAAAAAAAAAATCATTCGGAATCTAAGTCGATATTATTTCATCTATAAAACAAAATCAAAATAAAAAATCACTTCGAAAATAACATGAGCAAAAAATGGAAGAAAAACAAAAGTCAAAATTGGAGATTTCCAGGGTTTTTCTTTTTTTTAACCAGAAAAAGTGCTAGGGAGTAGATCAATGCGATAGGAACACTTGAGGACAAATTTCAGCAAATTTCGTGAAAAATGAGATAAATCAAATTATTTCATTTTTAAGTACAGAAAACCCACAAAATTTGAACTTCCGATTTCTTGTATTTTTACTTTTACATCCAACAAAATTTGAGCTTTGATTTCTTCTATTTTTACTTTTACATCCAACAAATTTCTATAGAAATCCATTAGAGGGCTCCAAGACCAATAATCTGAATCACATATAAGATGATTTGGTTAAAAAACGATATTAGAATAAAAGAAAGGCCGACATTTTTTTTCCAAAAAATCCCAAATGCAAATTTTTTTTTTGATAATTCAGTGGGGAAGAAAACCCCTAACTATTTTTTCAATAGATTAGAGAGATATTTTGAAGGAGTTAATTGATAGTGTCAGCAGTAAGAATGGATACGATCGAAACAGGTAAAAATAGGGATTGGATATGAATAAAAACTAAAAAATCCAACTCTCCTTGGTTTTTCATGTACAAACTCAAAAAAAGATACTCAAGCCGATAGCCCGAGTCCACCTGCTGATTCTGAGTGGAGTAGAAAATCCCCATTTTCATTAGTAGAGATAATAAGATCTGTACCAATGCTTTAAAACCCAAACTGTCACACCAAAACGGTCACCAACCAAGCCAATTCAAACCAGTAAACCGGATTAAGACTCTGTTTTCAAAGGATATTTCTTTATAAACCAAAAAGAATACAACAGATAAATAGATCGGTGGAAACCGCATGAGTCAAGAGGCTCTTTAAAGCTAGACCGATCCCCACCACTTCTAGAGCTCCAGAGGCAGCTCCGAGCTGGCTCACCGGTTTTTTAAGACACTGACCCGTACACTTGAGGAAACATGACTTTAATACCGTAGTTAGCTCGAAGTAAAATTTCAGTTTAAAAAATACTGGTGCAATGTGAATCCATGCAATCAATGCCAACATGCACAAAACACGATAGATTAAACTCATCCATCAATCCTGTCACCAAACAGTTGTACAACATAAATAACTCATAGTTAGAAGACAACATGGAGAAGTGTGGTATGCTCTAAGCCAAGAAAATATGCACGATGTTAGACAACAGAAGTATGAAACCATAACCCTAATCTTGATCAGTGACCAACTATGATACACTCTTCAATTGAGTTTATAGAGGATAAAGACTACACAAATGTTACATGACAGCCGTGTTCTGAAAAACAAAAAGAATATCATACCCACAATACCCTACCAACTCTACTGAAATTAAGAGGCACACAAACACATCCCAACCCAAAATCCAAAAAAAAAGAAAAAGTAAACGAAACTACAGTGATCCAGTTAGATGTTAATGTACAAAGATAGTGGTTTCAGTCCCCTGCAAAGTCGGTTGCTCGCTTAATGGTTACTGGTCATCATCTCCGGATCCATCTCTGGTTTGCTCACCAACGATAACTCATGGAGCTCATTCAATATCCACTCTTCACCAGTGTTACCACCTAACACCAAAACTCTAGTTCCTCCAACCACACAGGTGCTGTGACCCCACGCAAATTTCGGTTGCTGACCAGGAACATTTAACATCCTCCATGTTGGTTTCTCTTCTCTTGGATCAAGAAGAAAGAGCTGAGAAGCTGAGTGCAAACCAGCAACCGAACCTCCAAATATGATACTCCTCCCACAAGGCAAGCTCACTGCAACATGGTCAAGTCTAGGAGGAGGTGCTATGGCACTCTGGCTACCAACACTAGGAAACCCAGTTCCACTATGTTGCCTCCACCTTGGCTCTTCCTCTTCAATATCAATTGTGTATGCCTCATTAGATCTCAAACGAAGAGGCCCACTCTTTGCTAGACCACCAAACATCAGTATCTTCTTACCATCGTAGACAGAAAGCGTGTGCCCTAGCCTAGAGGGCGGGGTCCAAGATGTGGGTATCTCCCTCCACATGGGCTTGTCCACCGTGAGATCCAACAAGAATGTATCACTTAAGAGCACTCCAGCATCAGTGCAGCCACCCGAAACAACTAGTTTTGAGCCATCGACTGTGCAAGAGCTATGCCATGATCTTGGAAGGGGAGGTGCAATACCTAAAACCTCTTTCCAAGCTGGTTGTTGGGCATCTAAGTCCAAAACAAATACATCGTTTAGAAGTCCTTGACTTCCACAACCCCCAAAAACCACAAGCCATGAGCCATTCAAACATGAGAGTGTGTGGCCCCACCGACCAGGTGGGGTTGATGAGACCTTAACTCTTCGCCATTCTGGATTGGCTGAATCAAGATCGAGCACAAAAGTATCATCCATAGGCTGCATATTAACCCCCTCTCCACCAAAGAGAACCAGTCGATTACCAGCTGCACAAGCACTAAAGTTGCATCTTGAAGGCTCTACAGCACCACCAACTGTGAGCTTCTTCCAAGCTGCTGCTTCCAATGTAGTGAGCTCTCTAGCTAAACGGCCCCAACCCAATCTTTTAGTAACAGGAATTGACTCTAAGATCCCGGTTGCCTCTCTTCCCCATGCATTTTGACACACCATCTTCCACAAATGCTCATTTTTCGTTAGCTGGCGAAGCCTTCGACACACCAAACCAACTGATGCCACATCTCTAGGTGACAGGCGGGCCAAGATATTTTGTGATAGAACTTCATCAGAGAGCTGAAGAATTCCACATATGTGGCGACAAGGGTGACCATGGCTATTGGGTGCTTGGAGATAGTAGAAAGAATCAGTGTTCACTTCATTGGGGTGGTGGCAAGATGTTTGCTTGAAGACTGGGTAGGATAATCGGTCTATGTCAATGTTTGCTTCACTGAATATTTGGATACCGAGTATGTGGGTCACTATGCCATCATCATTGTGTATAGGACTCAGCCTTAGCCTGTTCACTAGGGGAGTTCCATCCTTTCGGAAATTGAGGAGCTCCCCTTGGAATTCAATCCCTTCTTCAAGGCATTTACGTATCTCTGAGACGACCACAGGGTCCACCAAGGGGTGTCGCCTTTGTGCGAAGGGGTCCCTATATTGTAAGAAACGGCTGCAAAGGGAACAGAGACAGAGAGGCAATTTAAGTGTCAAAGGATTGAAACTGTGACAAACTATATAAATTAGGAAAAGTAAATGATACATGTCCTCTGTATGTGCAGCTGCACTATCTACCGTCTGTCCTCAATATGGACAGTGGAGACAAACTGCAGTTCCAACCACCAAAATATGTAACTGGAATTGTGGTTTATTTCCAGTGTCCAATGTTGAGGATCCATGGTGGATGACACAGCTCTGGATAATGTACTATACGCAGGATGTGAATGATATGCTTTCCCTATGGATTATTGTGATTAATAGAAATAGTGAAAACAGATAGTACAGTAAGACACAGTTTACAAGCATATGTTTCATATTGCATCTCATGCATTGAATAAGATATATTGAACTTGTCATCGCATTTGTAAGCAATATCTTACAGGCATTAGCTCAAATAAAAACCAGAAAAGCTTTCATGTCTTTCAGATAGTTGTTCAATCTTTACATTTCTATTATCATAATTTAACCTCTATATTCTATTATCATCAAAATATGTGTCTCCAAGGTTTTAAAACTTATAGAATCAATTTTGACCCTATCCCAAAGCCCACCGAGATGAAATATACAGGAGAGATCATCCCAAGCAGAAGTTTTCCATGAAATGTCAATCAAAGTAGGACGCACCTTCAAATAGTGCCGAAATATGTTGTTTCAGTATCAAAAATCTTTATGATCGCCTGAAAATCTATTTTCATCTCTAATACAAAATCTAAAGTTAAAAATAGTGTAGATCGAGCAGATCTATGCACAATTGAAAATCTTGAAAATTCACAATCTAGATAATACACTACAATATGCACTATTTCCAATACTTCAAATTTATTTCTTCTCATGTCCATACATCTTGAGGTCGAGATGATCGAATGGAGGGTTTTTCAGCAGCAAAACAACATTTTCTAAGGAATTTTTTAGATGCACCTTAATTTGATTGTTTAGGGCCTCACCCTTATATAAACATTTTGACTAGACATTGTTCCCACAATCTGTAATGTAGACTTTGACACAATAGATATTATAAAGACTATCAAGAAAAAAATTATTAAATGAGTGGCAAGACAAGAATGGATAGAATTTGAAATTAATATATTCGGGAGAATTTAGGTGTGTCACTGATAGGAGATAAGATAAAAAAAAGTAGATTTAGGTGGGTTGGCCATGTGCAAAGCAGACCTAGTACAACACCTGTTAGGAGGTATAAGTTAGTTCAAGTGGAAGGCTAAAAAAAGGCAAGGGGTACGTCTACAAGAATATGGTTGGAAGTTGTGAGAAAAAGATATGGGAACTAATGGCCTCACTAAGGGTATGGCCCTTGATAGAGCAGAATGCCGGATTCGGATTCATGTAGCCGACACCAATTAGTTCGGAAAAAGCTCTAATGGTGATGATGATCAGGAGAAAGCATACCTCAAGTTGCACCAAAGGTGCTGACATATGGAAAATAGCTGATGACTTAGCCTAATGTGAGAGACACACCCCAAATAAAAGAGGACTTGGTTGCCGCTCTAGATTTGGCTAGATGAATAACAACAATGACAAACACTCTCACAATATTAAGGTACAGGAGCCATCTCTCTAAAGTTTCCCACCAACACCTCCACTGTTAAGATGATCACCAGAAGTAATTGATTCTCTAGTTGTTATCTGAATCATTGGAGTTTGGGGTAACTCAGTTGAAGGCAAGCAACAAAGCACAAAGATATCTAAGGTGCAAAAAAGAGGAACATGGTAGAGGGGTAAGCATAGACTAACATTCCATAGAATAGAGGACAATTTGTGGAAAGTGGCGCGTCAATGATATCCGGTGGGCATCGTCAGCAAGCACCTACCTGTGGACACTCGCCCATATTTTTGAGGAAATAGCCCGTCTTTGCTCAGGAATGTTTGTATCTTGGAATCAAGTGTGGCGCGAGAGTAACTCTCTTGCGGATGTCTTGGCCAAAGAGGGAGCCGTAATCCTGAGGATTGAGTAGTTCAGGGCTCCTTAGGCTCCCACCCTAGATGAGAGCAGTTTGTTTTCCTTTTTGCTTTGCCTGTCCCCCCTCTCAAGGGACATACCTTGTAACAACAATTTTATAGTAATACAATGTTAACATTCTCAAAATAAAATTGTGCAAAGTGGCGAAACTAGAAGGCCAAATGCTTGAAATGGTGGAGATTTCATGTCAATGTGTAGCTAAGAAAGGGGTTCAAAATAAAATCAAGAAACCAAAAGTAGCAAAGGAAAGTAAAGTATATCTTGTTGTCCACTAACCAATAGAATAGTTGTCCAAGGTTTCTCAAATGTTGATTGGATTGGTTGCCCCTTAGAAAGTTGTTTCTTTCTTTACTTTACTTGTTTATCATATTCTTCAGATTCTAGATAAATTGAACATACATCAGGGGTGATGTTAAAACGTTTTTATATGGTCGCAATCCCTTAAATGGTGCACAGAATGCAAATTATTTAAGAACTCGCAAAATTTGGTGGCCTAATCTGTGGGTTTTCTCAATTTAACTCTCATAGGTCACACTTAATCCCGAAGGACACTGATACTCAGTTTTGCCTTCTTAATCCTCATAGATAACACCTCCAAAATCAGGTCACCTAACGAAATTATCTTTTCAAACTTTGACAAGGTCATTTTTCTTGTGCATCTATTATAAGATATTCATGAAGTCCAAAAAACATCCTCCATGGTAGTCAACTATTACAAAAATAATTATAACACATCTTACTATCATCATATCGTTCAAAGCTTCAAGGTTGGGAGAAACACATCTAGTCCCACAATACCAGGTCTCAAATCAGCCTAAGACATCTAGGGCAATGACCAGGAGGGAGTTTTGAGGACATTCTCATATGAACCTATAAAATCATTGGAATACAATTACATGGTGCACTATCACGGCAAATAGCAGACCGAGGATACTTGTCTAATCCTGCCCCGATAACCACAAAGCTAAAAATTCATGGTTACCATTGTTGTCAAACTCACTTTGCTACGGCCGAAGAGGCCTAAGCCTTCGGATTTTAGGCCTAGACAGAGCAAAGCGAAGCCTGGTACTACCGCTTCGGTCCACTTCAGTCAGATTCGGGTTTGCTTCAGGCCAATTCGATCGAACCTTCAGCCTCTTCGACCTATAAGCAAAGAAATATCTACATAAAAGTATTTTATTTTTTATTTTTATGAAATTTTTTATTATTTTTTATTTTTATGAAATTTTTTATTATTTTTTATTTTTATGAAATTTTTTATTATTTTTTTCATTATTTTTATATATATAGACATCTAATTTATTTATATTAAAAAATAAAAATAAAAATAAAAATCCGAAGTCTTCCCCTGAATTGGCCGAAGCACCGAATTGCTTCATTTTTCTCACCAAACCAAAGAAGACTCTGAAGCGAATCTGACAACGTTGATGGTTTCTCCAGGGACAACCCTGGGCCAGCAGAGATTGGTTGTGCCTAATAGAACTTGGATTGAGAAGTGTTATTGTCCATTTCAGGGTATATAGCTACTGTTGATGCATTAGAAGGTTCCAGCTCTTTAGATTAGTCAACCACAATTTGGGTAATATTTTACAAGAGGAACTTTCCACGAGCCATTTCATGGGCTAAAACATGGGCAGGTCATCCTCAGCGATTCAATGTGATCTTCCAAGTAATCTAGAGAAAGTCTCAAACATCACAATTGACTACCAACACATCTGAGAGAGACTCGAATGTTTAGGCAGATAGCTTAGCACATGGAGTTACAAAAACATTACCAGAAACTAATTGAGCCAAATGAATTAGCCAGTCTCAATTGCTCAATTTGTACGTTCTCTTTTTAGGTGTGCATAAAGCCCTTAGAGGCTCGGGAATACAAACATTTTTTGACAAAAATTAGTAGCAATGGGAGTATAGTTAATGATCAGAAAAAGGAACAAAAAAAAAAAGGAGGCCACAAAACACTTGTTCCACTAAAACAAACCTAGCCACCATATAGCCTTGTAATTCACCTACATGAGTAATCTACTTCACCTGAAGACTTAGCCACTGCTCTACAAAGTGTAATCACTCAAGGACACATAGATAGCTGTTTCATATCCACTTAAGCAGGAAAAAGCTCAACTCACCAGCCTGAAAAGAGTGAATGGAGTAATGCTCCCTTTGAGCCATAGCCATCACACAAAAGAATAAGATAATTTTATTTTTACATGTAAACCTCTGCATTCATGAACTCTGATTACAACTGATCACATCCAAAGTTAAGGTACCCATAGCTCCTCATCAACATCATCTATTTCAAAGCCTACCCTTCGGATCTCCAACTAATGAGTCTACCTTCCCTTCTCCTAGGCTAAATTCCACAAAATTTTTCTACCTCACCAAAAAACTTTTATTCAACAATTCAAGCTCACTCAAAGAATTACAAGCAATTCAAAATTAATTCAAATGGGGACATCTGAACTATCAAGGAACCAAATTTGACAAATTTTCTGGGTGTTGGAAATCTGGAGGTTTTGGTCCCCACAAAAAATTTCATGCTATTAAGGCCATCCTGCTCTGTGTTAATAATGTTGTGTCCCTTTGTATAGCAATACAAGTAGGACTTAAAAGGTAAGTGCAGCTCTTGGAAGTTCATCATCATCATTATGTCAATCAAAAACTGTCATCATTGTTTTTTTTAGTTCCCTTTCCTTTTAACATGGTATCACAGCAGATTCTGATCAGTTTTTTTCCTTGCTATGAGTTTTAACTGTTGCGTGCTCCATGCCACATATATCATTGAGTCCCAGCACATAAGAAATTAGGAACCACTTCCATAGTCCCGCACATGGCTAGGAGTTTTGATGGGAGATAAGCATTATTGATGCAAACAGTAATAGAAAAGAGAAATGGAAGAAAGAGTGGAGAAGGAAGAAACAGAAAAGGAGAGGAAGCAGTAGAATGGGAGAATGACTGAGATGTTCATGGTAAAAAAATAAAATGCTAAAAGATAAGAGGGAAAGAACAGAGGAGAGGAAGGAAGAAATAGAAAGAGAGGAAGATGAAAAGAGAGATGAGAGAAGCAATAGAGAGAGTAGAGAGAAGCAGCAGAAGAAACAACGGAGAGAGCTCTTGCACATGTGTTCAAAAAGAATGATGGAAGACACAAATGGAAGACATATTTATCATTCACTAAAGCAAACCAACATGAAACAAGTGTATCAAAAAACCAATTTCGTTTTATACCAAGGAGGGCAACAATTGAGGTTATTTATCTACTTAGGCAAAATAATTGAGAAGTGTAGGGTGAAGGGAAAATACCTTTACATGGTCTTTACGGATCTAGAGAAAGCTTATGATAGAGTAACTCGATATTTAATTTGGTGAGTGATTGAAAAAGAAAAGAGTCTCTAGATACTATATCGACTTGGTGAGAGAGATGTATAAGGGAATGTGCGAACAACTAGTTGAGAGATGAGTGAGTTTTCAGTGACAATAGATCTACATCAGAGGTCAGCATTGAGCCCATACCTCTTTGTCTTAATTATAGATGACTTAACAAAACACCTACAAGATGAATTTTACCATAGTTTATGTTTGCAAACAAAAATTTTAATCGACGAGACCCAAAGCGGCGTTAGCACAAAGAATTTTGGAAGAATGCTCTAGAATCTAAAGGTTTTAAAATTACCTGACTGGGACATAATGGAATGCAAGTTTAGTAATAATTGTAGTAGAGACAAGGAAGTAGTGCAAATTGATGGCAAAAAAATACCACAAAGAGTACAGTTCTAATATCTTGAGTTGATAATCCAAGAAAATGGAGAGATTGAAGAATATATCGCACATAAAATTAGAGTTGGGTGGCCAAAGTGGAGATGTACAACCAAAATTTTATGTGACCACTGCATGCCAATAAAGTTGAAGGGAAAGTTTTATAGGACAGCTATGATACCAACTTTGCTTTTAGGGGGCAAAATATTGGACGGTCAAGAAACAACATACCCATAGGATGAGTGTAGCTAAGATGAGGATATTGAGATGGATGAGTGACAAAACAAGAAGGGAAAGAATTCGAAATGAATATATTCGAGAGAACTTAGGTGTGGCTCTAATATGCTGTAAGATGAGAGAAAGTAGACATACGTGGACTAGCGACGTACAATGCAGACCCAGTACGACAACTGTTAGGAGGTGCGAGTTAGTTCAAATGGAAGGCTAAAAAAGGGTAAGGGGTAAGCCCAAAAGGTATGGTTGAAAGTAGTGAGGAAAAGTGTGAGGACTTATGGCCTCACTGAGTGTATGGGCCTTGATAGAACATAATGGCAGACTAGGATTCATGTGGCAGACCCCAAATAGTGGGGAAAAGGCTCTGATGATGATGTCCACTTTTTGAGTTCCATTTATTAACATAGCCATCGATTGTTGTCTCACAACCTCGCCTTAGCCACGTCAGCAGAACCAATTTTACCATTTTGACTATTGAAAAATAAGGTCTTCATGGAACGTACTCTTCTTGGGATATCTAGTTTGCCTTCCCAAGCTAAGTGCCCCAAAGTCCAAAAGAACACATATCTAGTCAAAATGCCATTAGATCCTCATAGATGTTTCTCCAAGAAACATAGCTCCCCTAAACATAGTATAAGAACATTTGCCATCCAAATACATCATCCCCGCAACGATCATCAACTGAGACATTCCTTTATTTTATGAAAAAGAACCAATCACATCATTGTTCTCCCAAATATGTTGCCTCTAAACCTTCTCTAATGGAATCTAGTTATGATAAAGAAGGTCTAAAGAAGTATTTCATACCAGCACCAGGCACATGGAGATATATTATCACATTATTACATCTAAAAAGAGGAGGAAGTCAATGGAGAACTTTAGGCATCCTTTATTAGCTTAATTAGAAACTAAAAGGCATCCTTACCAAAAGTCATGTCAAGGTTCTTCATACACATTTGCTTAATAAGCAAAGGATCTCTTGTAATTAGCTAGTCAGTGGAAGTCGAAATAGTATATTATATTGTCACATTTTGAAGAAAGAACTACTATCAATAAACTATCATGATAATTTTTTTCAATAATTTCAAAATTCTTCTGATACAATGAACAAATGCAAGTTTTTGAGAGCCATCATACTTTGAGAAGTCTCAAAATTGATATGTATAAACAAAATAAGAGCGATTAAGAATACAATATCTATGCTTCTTGTCCATTGGATCACATTGATGCAAGAAAAATCATTACCTTTTACACCATTAATGAACGGATATCACATTTGGCACAACTTGATTGGGTGGAGGCTTTTGTACATTTGTACATTTTACAAACATGCAAATTACCATACATTTGTATATTTCAAAAGAAAAACTTCAGACATCATCTTCAGGATGATCATGTGCAAGATTCCTCCATCACAATACTCATCCAGCAACCCAGACTTAGAGCTGTGACACTTGATTACCATTGAGTGATTCAAAGAACATGAGACTCCACAACTGGATTACACCAGTTTGAATCAATTTATGAGCCAATCCATCTACACTTGTCACACAATTATTCCCTATTTCATGACAAGTTTCACCAGATCCTGAGTACAATTCATCAACTGATATACCACTTCAGGTGTAGACAACCAAGTTTTTAAACCAGCTAGAACTATCACCATTTTCCCACTTTCTATCTTGACCACCATTGATCCTTGAATCTACTAAACATGCTCTGGAAAATGAACATAAAACGAATTCTAAAGTAAAATGTACGATTTTTTTTTTTTCTGTATTTCTTTTCTTTTCTTTTTCGGGGGTTGGGGAGTGAGTGGGGGAGTTAGTACAATACCAAACATGGTCAAACAACTCAACCATCTCTAGGCAAATCATATAACTGGAAACCCCATGACTTGCTTAGTTCAACCTATAATGCATAATACCCATTTTCCAACAATAAATTAGTATGGATATATACAAAACCAAATACAAAAACTAGCACACTAGACTCAGATACGTCATAGAATATCCATGACTTGGGATGATTAAAAAAAGAAAAAATTACGATTTGGATATGTCTATGCACACACTAATTACATACACAACTTTAGCCACAAGAACAAGTCACATGTGAGGGAGATTATAGAACTTATAGTCTATATATAGATGGGGCCCCTTGGAGAAAGAGTTGAGAGGAGTCACCTGTGAGGGTGATTATTTTGTGTGATCTACCATAGAGTAAACCTATTTGAGTAATTTGGGACAAGCCTAAAATTAGACATACATATTGGGTTTTTGTCAACAACCCGCATTTGTTGGGTCAAAGCTAGTTATGTTAAGCATTAAAGGTGTAATGGCAATAATCGATAACTGATGTCATATCTTCCCCTTCATAAGTTAAACAGAAAGAATCATCGATTACAATTTGCACTCCAACGATGTGGGGGGAATTTGAAATCCAAACGACCATGATCCTAGCAAATCTCACAAACATACCACCCCCCCAACAGAGAGACACAATTGTGTAGCTATGCATAGGTGAGACCCAATAGAATTTAACGAAGGTATGGGGAAAAAAAGGGAAAAAAACATAAAAAATAAGTATAATATCAGCATTAATTACTGAAGAACATCATTAAAGCCCATACCAAGAAAAATATAACCATAGCAATAAAACAACAAGATTCCAGAAAATTACTAAAGACCAACATTTTTAATAATCACAAAAAACCAGCTATAGCTCTCCAAAAAACTAACAAAGTAAACCCGCAAAATTCTCAATCAATTGACAAGAGGCCAACATTTCATTAGTTGCGGTAACTATTAAAACCCAAGCAAACCTCTCCAGAATTAAGTAATAAAGAAACACCCACAAAGACATTCATAACAACCAACATTTATATTTGTAAGAAGGATGATCAAGTTCCAGCTGAAATTCTCAAGAAAATCACAAAGCCCACGATCTTAGCTCACAACAACAATGACAAAAACCATTCAACTCAAAACACAAATGCAACAGAACAAGGATTCACATGAAACTTGGTAGAATTTTCATACCAATTTCTTCCTAGAACCTCATCTGCTCTGTAACCGGTGAAGAGCTCGAAGATGGTGTTCACATAGATGATGGGGTGGTCAGGGTCCAAAGCATCAGTGACCACAAAGGCTGAAGGGGTAGGATAGAAAAATATTCCTGGTTTAAGGGAGAAGTTCTTCTCTTCCTTTTCCTCAGTGCACTGCCCGCTCCTCAAGCGTTTCCCTCCTGTGCATAACTCTCCCATGGCGCCCTCTTTCTCTCTCTCTTTCTCTCTCTCTCTAGAAGTTCAACTGTGTGTACAAATGCTGTTCAATACATATAGAGAGCGAGAGGCGTAGAAAGTTAGTTCAGTACCCCTGGATTTCCAATGAGTTTCAAAAACACCCCTATATTTAAGAGGCCGTGAGAATGTCTTTTATGTTGATTTTTTTTAAAAAAAAAATTATTTGGGTGGCTCTGGGTGATTCTATTCTAAGGGCTGGGTTTCCTCTCTTTCTCTTTTCTTTTTTTTTTCTTTTTTCCTCTTTTTTTCTCTTCTTTCCTTTTTTAATATTTTTTCCTTTTTTTTTTTACCTTAAATTCATCGCATTAGATTTGACAATAGGCCAGGTCCGGCCGGTCTTCCAAAAGTAAGGGCTAAGCCAACTATGGCTTGAGGGCTGGGTTAGGGTCAATACTAGCCTTCTTCAGCCCAATGTGACCGTTCAATCGTTCGTGTTTTTTGTTATTTAACACAAAGGGTTAAAAATATTTGTCCTCGAATTGAGTGATGGGTATAGTATGGAAATTAAGCGCACGATATTTGGTTATTCCTGTAGGTAACCTGAACCTGAGTGAAAGGTCTAGTTTAGACACGTGGCAGTGGATATTTTGATGGGAAAAATATCTCTTACAACTGCTGTCCGCGGGATGCCACGTCATCAGTTTCGGTGGCGGGATATGCGTTAGTTGGACGTTTGGGACGGCCGATATAGAGAGAGAGAGAGAGAGAGCGAATGGATTTAGAGAGAGAAAGGATTTATTTTGAGTTGAGAGGGAAAGGATTTATTTGATTTGATTTGATTTGAGTTGAGTTGAGTTGCGTGAGAGAGCGAGTGAGGATATTTTTTCTGGGGTAAGTGGGGGAGAAGGTTCCGATTCTTTTTTTTTTTTTAATTATTAATAAACTATAAAGAAGGAATAATGAGGCAATTACGTCAAATCATAAGTGAAACTAAGAGACGTGGGAAATCGTATTTCTATATAATTAGGGGTTAAGCCTCCATGGATAACTATTGTTGAGCTTATCAAATATCTAAACACAAACCTTAATTTATAGGGTTACAAAATAGTATTATAGAAACTAATATATGTAATGGACCACTTTTTATATATGAATACACATAAAAGAAAAGTAATATTATTTTTAAAAATAAATGTAAGTTTTTATATTTCCCGATACTTCCCCTCAAACTCAAGATGCGTTAATAGAAAACGTCATGAGTTTGGACATCTGAATGCAGGCCTTAGTGAACAGAAGAAACATGAGCAGCTGTAAATTAATGATCTGCAGAATCTGACATCAAGTCTTCAGGTGTAAAGCATGACCGATAGAAGTAGTAGTCTCCATGCTCAGATTGCTTGAACAACAAGAACAGAAAGCAGTAAATCTTAGGAACATACGGCCTCAAGAATAGACGACCTCATGAACAGACGGAACATTTGAGATCAAGAAATTCGATCATCAAACAGGAAGCCTGTAGAAGAGCTACCAAAAATCGGTGGTGGATCAACAATTGGATATTAGATTTGGAGTTGAGAACAGTAAAATCCAAAACACATTAGAGAGTCAAAACACGACTTGACAGATAGACAGATCAGATAGTCGAATCACGACTCGACAGATAAAAAAATCAGATAATCGAAACTAATGGTTTAAAAACCGGATCGATGACCCGGATCGGGCTTTTCAAAAACCGATCCGGATCGGT